TGGTTTGAGCTGAGCAAGGAGTGGGAAGTATGCAGGAACAGCAGAGGATGCTATGAGACAGGCAGAGTTTATTGAATAAAGTCCTTCTTAAGAAATACAAATCAAAACCGCCTTGAGATTTGACTACACAGTCAGAATGGCAAAGACCAGTAGAACAAATGATGGGTTGTGCTGGTCAGAATGTGGGGGTAAGGGAAACACTCATGCATTGCTGGTGGGATTGCAAACTTGTATTTCCACTATGGAAATCAGTGTGGCATAAATAGCCTCGGGAAGCTGGGAGTAGATTTACTTCAAGATCCAGCTATAATATGCTTGGTCATATACTCAAAGGACTCTATTTACATCCTACTACAATGACACTTGCTCATTCATGTTCACTGCTTCTCTATTAACAATAGCTGAAACCGGAAACTGCCTAGATGCCCATCAACAGATGAATGGATAATTAAAATGTGGTATATTTTTTTAAATTAAAAAAATGGTATAATTCCATTTGCACAATGGAATTATCCAGTTGTTTAAAAAAAATGAAATTATGAATTTCACAGGTAAATGGATAGAGCTACAACAAATCATTCCGAGTGAGGTAAAATAGACCCCAAAAGAAAAATGAGATATGTATTCTCTTATATGTGGATGTAAGCTTTTGGCCTTCAATAGACAAACTATACAACCCACATAACCACAAAGGTTAGGTATAGAATAGTAACTAGGGTGAAGGGGAGGCTCTCTCAATGAAGGGGAAATAGAATACACAGTTATGAAAGATGGGGGGTGAATTAGAATAGGAGAATTAAATAGAGGTAAGGAGGGAAGTCAGGCATAAAGGAGTGTAGTGGTTTCAATGAGAATGGCCTCATAGGCTCTTGTATTGAAATGTTTGGTCTCCCAATTGATGGAACAGTTTGGGAAGTATTAGGAGGTGTGACCTTGCTGGAGGAAGTGTGTCACTGGGTTGGGCTTTGATGTTTCAAACACCCATGTCAGGATCAGTGTTTCTTTGTCTCTTCCTGTAAAGCTCTCAGCTACTGCTCCAGTGCCATGAACATCTGCTTCCTTTATAGCAATCATGAGCGACCCCTCTAAAATGGTAAGCAGTCCTCCAATTAAATGCTTCCTTTTATACAGGTTGCCTTGGTCATGATGTCTCTTCCCAGCAATAGGACAGTGACTAAAATAGGGAGGGACTATGGAGAATGGAAACTTACACTAGGGACCATTTGTGAGGGGTCATATTGAAACGTACAAACAACAGAAGCTTCTTAAAATAGAAACATAAAATCTAAACAGAGTAGTCACCAAATGAACGGGGAGACAAGGCTACTACTAGACAAGGCTACAACTAGACATCTTTTGCCAGAGCAAGGAATTGGTTTCATTTAATTAAGTTTTTGGCCAAAAAAGCCCATCTGAAACCCCTAAACTACTCAGGCTGTTGCCAAGGCTATTTCTTGCTCTCCAAAAGTTGATGGGAAGGGCCTATTGCTGAAGACAACACTTATATATCTCATAGATCATGGAAAAGTCAACCTGATGTCTACCTGAAGCTTTCTTCACCCCCATTGCCAAATGTTTGTAGTACTGGAAGGTGCTTTGCACACTTCCAGGGGAGAAGGGTGAACATCAGCCCAGCTACAAACCCTGAGGTCTGTCTAGAGTGATAAACTGCCTGATGCACAAACTTGTGGAAGTAACTATAAGGTCCACTCAATGAGATGGAACCCTAACACTAGATAGGAGGCCATGGACTTAGGAGAACACCACATACTATTGTTTGCTTAAGGAACATAGAAATGAACTGACTTCAAACAATGTTCACCAATACCTATAGATCAATGTCTCATTCAGTCCTAAATGGGATGTCTCTATCAAATATCTCTCCTCAGGGAACTTTGCAGAAGATGAGGTGGAAAGATTGTAAAAATCCAAGGGGATGCAGGACACCAAGGAAATAGTGTCTTCCAGACACAACAGGACTGTTGCACATATGATTTGCAGAGACGGTGGCAACATGCACAGGGGCTGCACAGGTCTAAGCTACAGGGAGTCACAATGGTGAGTGAAGGGGACACAAGCTCCCATCTATAACCAAGAAGCTATCTCCAACTGATCACTGTTTGCAAAGGAACAACTAGTGTTCTCCAATGGAGCCTCACTGGGTGTACAAACCATAACTAAGAGCAGGGCACATGACCAGCAGTAGATAGATGGCATAAAAACAATGCAATATTATTTTTGAAGAACATTTTCAATCTCATACTTCTTTGTTTGGACATTTTTTATTTTACTAGTCTTTTGCTCATATATTGTATTTTCTTATTTTATATTCTCATGGATTTTATTTTTTTTGTGTGTGTCTCTCAATGTATATGTGTTCCTCATGCTTTTTCTTTTTCTTATTATTTTTGAGAGAGAGAGAGAGAGAGAGAGAGAGAGAGAGAGAGAGAGAGAATGAAGTTGGGTGGGTGGGTATGTAGAGAAGATTGGAAAGGAGATGAGGGAGGGCGATACCATGACCAGAATAATATATTGCATGAAAAAAACTTCCAATAAAAAATAAATTCCTAGTATTGATTGAACTTTGTAAGATTCTACTAGTGAGTTTAAATTGTGAAGCAGGTAATGTATTTGCTTACATAGATTTTAATCAGAAACTACCCTCGTTGCTCCTTAGAGAACTGACTTTGGGAAAGAGCAGAACACAGGAGTCCAGAGGCTGAACACAGAAGGATGGTGACCTTGAACTAGCTTCTCACCGACAAAGGAAGTTTGATCCATTCGATTCCCTGTAGCTGACCCCTCACTCACCACGCCAGTTTTAGTGAATGTAAACCCTGTTCACCCACTTTAGCTGTACATCTGGCTATTAATCTGGACACTTGAATCTTTATTGTCCTCTATTTGGAATGACCTTCACCTTTCTCTTTGTGATCCAGCAGAAAGCTCAGCCTTCATGTCCCAGAGTCCCCTCCTTGGAACCTTTCCTGACCTATTGGAAGCAGGAGATGCTGGTCCAGACTTTTATAGACTATAAAAGTTACCTTGTGCTTGTTGTGGTGGGTCCTACCAATATCAGTATCAATACCATGTATACAATTTTTCCATGTTTGTTATATGTAGAAGTTGACCAGGTATTCTAGAAGTTGGAGTTGTGCTCTAAGGCTCAATGAACTTAGGATGTTTCAGACTTAGCTATCACTTGGTTATTTTACTTAATATACCCATGCCACCCATTATTTTCTTCCTTGTACATTTGCAAATGCAAAGGGAAATGTGAGGAAAATCCCAGTAGCTTGAGTCTCTGCCACAACTGAATTAAAAGTTTCAAGGCACAATGAGTAGATGACCAATCATCAATGGCAAAGCTCCTCTTTCTACTGACTGAAGCTTGGAACACTCCTTTCAAAGTGCGAAACACAATGTGTTTCCATTTTATTATTTATGTGAATTTATAGGCCATAAAAATAAATATGCATAGCTGGGCAGTGGTGATGCACGCCTTTAATCCCAGCACTCGGGAGGCAGAGGCAGGCAGATCTCTGTGAGTTCTAGGCCAGCCTGGGCTACCAAGTGAGATCCAGGAAAAGGCGCAAAGCTACACAGAGAAATCCTATCTAGAAAAACCAATAAATAAATAAATAAATAAATAAATAAATAAATAAATAAATAAATAAATATGCACTGCAATTATTTAAATGTCACTTTCACAAAAGATTAAACAGATTCCAGAAGCAGAACTATCTTAAAGTAACTGAAAATTGAATGCAATCTCAATGCACAAGTGCCTATCTAACCATAGTTTTGTTTTCTGTACCCACATAAAGACAGTTTTACTTGTATTTATAATATTTACTTCAAAATACTCTTTGAGAAGGAAATAGGGATGATAATGAAATTTCACTATAAATATGGAAAATTTAGATGTAAAATTTTAATTAATATGATTATAAATACCATGTCTTTATAACTACAGATTAGGGAATATATATTTTATATCATATAATATATAATATATTTTATAACACATATAATATATTGTATATTATATAATAAATAATATAATGATGTATATACTTAAAATTATGTTATATTTTATAGATCACAGCCACCGTTTAGCACATGGGAATCAGTGGAAATAGTGGTATTTCAGACTATTGTATTTAGAAGCTTCAGAGTTTGAAGGTCCAGAGTTAAGAAACTACTGCACATGGGAAATTTTTAATTTGAGATTTGTTCAAAACTGAACTGATACTTAAACCATACATAATTAATTTTATTAATTAGAATATGCCTGCTATTATGGGTAATTAACATTTCCCATTGCCATTTACATCTTTATGTCTAACATATTTATCTATTTCTTTCCTTGAGGCAAAATTATGCATCAAAAAATAACCTCTACTATTGAAACCAGCATAAAAATTAGTTATGCTTCTATAAGCAGTAGCAGTGAGTTTCCTCTGAAATTAGTTTAAGAAAGCTGCCCCAAACAAAATAAGCATGGATGAACTGGGCCTAAAGGAGCATCCTTTCACTTGCGCATCTTGGACAATGAGCTTATGCTAAGCTGAGGTCAATACTCTGGCCGGAAGAAGAGACTGACCACACACATTTGACCAGCACTTCAGTCCTTAGTCCTAGCACTCCTGATCTAAATGCATGCTCATGCTTCATCTTTTGCCTTGTTTGTTTATATTCAACGTTTATTCCACCATGCGGGGAAAGGAATATTAGTTAAATACACTGAAAGCAGGTTGCAATTTAGAGATTTTTATATTAAGAATAAAACTTCAGTCTCACATAACAGCTTTTATCTTTGGCATTTTTAAGTGAACATGCCCCCCCTCCCCCCGGCCCACACACTTATAATGCAATAATCTTCCCTCAATTTTAGTATTTCACTTTCTACATGCTAGTTTTGTTACCTTCCAAGTCTGCAAACACATGATTAACATCAACTCATCCATTGTCTTCTAACTGAATCGAATCCCTCTTACCGTGAAGCCCTCGGGACACTGAAAAGGAGCCCTGGAACTCTCGTCTGCTGTTGGACTCAGAGGCTTGGGGTCGGACATAGAACGCTGCATCACCTTGGCTGTCTTAGGACTTGCTGGGGGAACGTTAGCCATATCTGGATGTAGTACTTTCTGTGGACTTAGGTCATCAGGGAGGGGCTTTTCATAAGGTACAAAGGCTGATTCTAAAGCTTTGCCTGGTGAAAGTGGTGAGATGGGTGAATAAAGGACTTTTGGAGATTTGGGTGGGGAAGGAGCCAGCTGCACTGTGGTGTCTGCCCGAAGGTGAGATGATGAATAACCAATCTCTAAAGGTGTCGGGCGTTTCTTGTCTTTGGGTGGAGAGGTGGCACCCAGGTATGGAGGGCTCTGTGTGTCTGAATCTGTTTCTGTTTGACATCCTAAACTGCCCCCTTTATAAGTCTTTTCAGGTGCTGAAATGTGTTTAATTATTTCTACCTTGGCATCCACTCGTGCTCGTATGGAAGGTGTCCGTATGGTTCCCACCGGTTCAGTTTGCACAGATATCTCTGCAACTGTCTGAACTGCTACACTGGAGACTTTGGACGTGGGCTTGGTCTTGTCACCCTCAGTGGTGCTGTCTCCATATTTCCCCGGACGTGCTTTTCTCCTTGACCTGGAAGGCACATCCCATTCATCCTGATCTTCATCATCTGTTTGGACACTGGTATCAACGCTCTTTTTAGTTCTTCGCCTCCTACTTGAGTAACTCCGATCAGCGGTTTCTTCATCATCGGTTTGTACTCCACTGTCCACTATCTTTTTTAAATTCCGTGGGTCGTCTGCCATGCTTTCCCCCATCTCATCATACTGCCCCCGAACTTTAGCTCCAGAGCTTCTCTTTTTGGGTTGTTTCTCCTCTTTTACAACAACATCTGTCAGAGGTATCTCTGAAACAGTGCTCAAGATGCCAGGTGGGGCAATGTACTGAGTCACCCCATCAGACTGAACAGTGTACCATCCTTGGCTCTGTGGTATTTCAATGGCCACCACAGTAGAGGCGGTAGTGGTGGCATCTTCAGTGGCCCAAAACTGACTGCCCTCTGGAGCAGCATATTGACCCTCCAAAATTGCCTGTTCAGTGGTGGTTTGTGGAGAAGCATTTCCAGAGGGGTCATAGTTATACTGGTAGATCTGGCGAAGTTTTTGCTCCTCCAGCTGCTGGTGCAGCTGTTGTTGCAGCTGTTGGATCTGCTCAAGCTGTAACTGCTGCTGAGCTAGGGTCTCCTGCCTCATCATGAACTGGGCCTGCCGCTCTTCTTCTTGCTGAAATAGGAGGTGCTGTTTCATAGACTGCAGCTCCTCCAGCTTCTTTTGAACCATGATCTTTTCTTGTTCTCGGAACCTCTGAATCTCCTGACGTTCCCACTCCAGTTCCTCAGCAAAGCGTTGTTGCTTAATTTTCTCCAGTTCTAGGAGCTCTCGCTCCAAGTCAAGTTGCTGTTGTTGTTTATCTTCATCAGAGACAATTAAAAGAGTGCTTTCCTCTCCTCCCACCTCAGAAAATACTTCCGATGCTGTGGTTAAAGCAGGAGCTGAGTCCATCGTCGCAGCAGGAAGAGTTTCCATAGTAATAGTTTGCAGACTGGCATTGATGTCAATACTGGTTACTGCGATGTCTGTTTCTGATGCACCTGTTGTTATGAAATATGATCGAGGCATTGGCTGGCTTTGATGCAGGGCTGATAATGAAGTCAGTGCATCTGTTGTGTGAATACCAGATAAATCCCTCACCGTGGTGCTGAAAATGGAGCCAGGTTGAGTGGTGATAGCAAATGTGGAGGGGATTGGAGTTGCTACTGAAGAATAGACAACACCATTAGATGACCTCAAAACACTTCCCACACCATATTGGGGTCCTGGAGGTGGAGTCATTCTTGCTGTGGAATACTGTGGGGTACTAATCCCAACTCCTGAAATGACTTGGCGTGTTTCTGGGTAGGGACCTGTAGTCTTGCTTGAATAATCCATTACCTCACCTGAAATACAGGGTAGAGTTATAGTCCAGTTCTCAGAATGAATGATGCTGTTTGGGTCTGAAAGCCCTTTTATCTTGATGAGCGCAATGAATGGGACTGCATGCAAATCCACAGGTTAACCTAATGCGATGCGGAAGAAAAGCAATGTTGAACATGCAGGCACATGCAGGCGAGGACAACAGCAAGAACCACGAAGGAACAAAAAATGCACATGGACTTTAAAACATATTGCCAGAACATCCAAGGGAAGCCAAAATGTAAATAAAACCAGAGGAGGGGCAGTTTTCATCCTGAAACGAGATGCATAACACCGTAATGGCATTTCAAGGCAGGGTCTATTACTATATCATACTGACCTGTAGATACTCTCCCTGAAGTTAGATCTACTGCTGCATCAGCTCCTCCAGAATAATCAAAAGCATTTTTACTTTTATAGAAAAAATGTCCAGCTTCTGCTAAATTAGTATCAGACATGGAAGGCTTCATTCCACCAATCCCTCTGTAACCATAACCTGATCTATCATATTGGTAGTGGTCATCCCTATAACCGAAACGGTCTTCAGGAAGGGTTGTTGCAGGCTGCTGTGCTGTGCAGCTCCTTCCAAAAGGCAGCTTATAAACCATGTCACAGCACACAGCTCTTCTCCCTGCAGTCAAATCCACGGGTTTTTCATCATCTTCTACGATTTTGGTCACCACACTTGAAGTAGATTCGTCCATTGTAACAACAGTCCTGTGAGACTTGGATGTGCTGAGATCCACCACTTCCCCATCCGTGATCCCCCGAGATGTAGTGCTGTCAGCCCAGCCGTTTGTGACACCCACAGGAGGTACAGTGACAGGCTTTGTAACAGGCACTGCCTGAGCTGAAGGACCTAGGGATAAGTTTATTGGCGCTTCATCTCTGATCACAGGAAATGCCTGGCCACTTGGTATCCTGTATGGTGACTCAGTATGTTTTGACATAGTAAGCTGGAGTGGTGACGTCATTGCATGCTCTGCACTCACTTGGCTTCCTGTGCCTGTTGTGTAAACTGTAGTATCTGTGCATGTGACAACAGCCACCGTCTCAGAGTCTAGGGTGACTGGAGTTACCAATGAGGAAGATGCACTGAGATTTATGATGGAAGGTTGGATGGCACTAATTTGTCGCCCGTAAACTTCATTTGCTGTGGTCTGCCTTTTCCCATCCATTGCAGAAGCAGAAAGATCCATACATTTTTCAGTTGCTTTAGCTTCTGTTTTTGGTATTGTACGCAAATCAATGGCATCACCAATAAGCTGCAACTTTCCATTTTCCCTGTACTGATGTCTGTCCAGAGCAAGAGGCTCTGGAGGAATGGGTATGGAAACGCTTCTGGGAGCCACACTTGGGACTGCACTTCTGGTTGCAGAAACCTCCATTTTTGAAGCTTCTGTTGGAAGAAACTGTGTAAGTGAAGTTGGAGCTCCTTGAAATAGAGATGGAGTTACAACAGGGGCAACAGGATATGTCTCCAAAGCTCCTGGTGCATACAGGGCTGGCTGTGAAGAAGTTGGAATTTCTGCAGCTGTCACAGGAGGAACTACAGAAAACACCGTTTCAAGGGAAACCAGATCTTTTGGGGGTGATCCCAAGGGCCAACTGGTAATGGCTTGAGCAGCAGAAGAATCTGTTGGAGTCCCAGGTTCAGAGGGCAATGTAATAACCACGTAAGTCTCCATTAGAGACTTAGAATATCTTGGTGAGGATTTATTAGAGTGTGGGGAGAGTGGAGAGGTAGGGGAAGGCAGTTTGTAATCTGCGGAAGTCACTAAATTTAAGGACATACTTGAAGTCAAAGACAGACCTGTTGGTTTGGGGCATACATCTGATGTTTTCTGTGTAGTCACGGGAAGCTGAGGAGCTGCTGGCTTGGGGGCAATCGGGGGTTTGCTTGGCTCTGGCCTGTGTGTAAACACAAGTCCAGTTGGGATGGAAGAGGGCTTAGGAGGGACAGGAGGAGGTACAGCGGTACAGATTTTGGTTGCAGGTACCCCGTTACTCCTCTGAGCCGTCGTGACCTCTACAATCGTCGTTGGAGTCACTGGAGGGGCCACTGCCAGCTTCTTTTTAGGATAAGTGGATGGCTTAGGTGAAGTTGCTGGGGGCAATGGTGGAGGAGGGGGAGGAGGTGGTGGCGGAGGGGGAGGAGGTGGTGGGGGAGGAGGAGGGGGTGGCTGGGCTGATACGTCCAAAGAAGAACTTCGGAAAAATGGACGAGACTTAGATGGATGGGTAGAAACGGGAAGACCAGCTGATGGTAACCTATATGTGGGCTTTTCCTGACCAGGGAGCTTTCCAGATACAGAATATGGAGATACGGCTTGTTCCTTCATTTGAGGGGCTGTTACAGAAGGTGTTTGGGCCAAGCCAGTTTCAGGTAAGCTTATTTTTGTTAGTTCAACCTCAGACTCTTCCCTTTTATCTTTGTAAGCATCCAAAACTTCTAGAATAATTCCATCCCCAGTTTCCTTCTTGCCTTTTATTGGATCCTTTTCAGACAGAGGTAAGTCAGTGGACACGGCGTCTGCTTGTGGCCTGTCAGCTTTAGGACTTAGAGATTCTGTGACCGACGGTGTTATACTAGAGAAGGAAATCATAATATGATCCGCACTAGCTCTACTTTCGGGTGGGATGGTCCGATCTAAAGACACACTTATGTCTTCTGGGTAGTCTATGATGCTGCCCCGAAAATAAGTTGATGAAGAAATTTCCTCAGAGTCTTCAAATTTCGTTATTACGTCTGCTGGCTCTGTGTAAGCAGTGGTTAGGCTATCCAGGGCAGTAACAGGTGAGGAGCTATCTGTGGTGCAGACTGAAGAAATAGATGATGTGAGCGAAGGTGTGTCAGAGGGTGGAACAGATGCAGCACTTTCTGAAGGCTCAGAGTAGGTCAATATCAGTGATTCGTGGGCAATGATCTCTTGAATTTCTCTTGTATAATCAGTTACATACTCATCCTCCAGTTCTTCTGTTGAAAAATGTTGGGTTATCTTAACATCTGGGATAGAGAGAGTTGCACTGCTGGTAGAGTCTGTCAGAGATGCTCCAGAAAGGATACTGGATGTCAAAGATGCATCTTGCACCCTGTCAAAGTCCATAGTGGACTCGGCCATGTCATCCCCAATGGTGGTCTGTGTGGGGCTGGATCCATCTGTCATCTGCATCTGTTGCCGCCTCATGAGTTCTTCATAGGCAGTGTCAGCATCTAATAATTTCTTTTCTTCACTGGTAGAAGTTACCATGGTTCCCAGATCCACTATCTCGTGGCTTTCTGGAATGATGTAAGAGCTTGAAACTATGTCTTCTTGAGGCACCACAGAATGTAAGCTTTCTAACTCATAAAACTCTTTTTGGAGGTCTGTGATTTTCTGCATAGGGTCATCATAAATATGCTCTGGGAGTCTTATTTTGTGCTCTCTTCCTCTCTGCTGCATAAATCCATTCTGTTCTTCTTGCCTTGTGAGCAGACTGCCATCTACTGATCCATTGTACGTGTCCTCTACTAAAGATTCATAAATGTAGTCCTCTATTAACATGCCACCATACAATGGCTCTTTTTCAAAGACTTCATCTCGTTCATTTGCAGCTGGGAAAGCTTTATATTTGTGGGTTTTGTGCATCATTTCTTCGTACATCTCCTCAGCACTTTTCAGACCCTTCTGGACACCTTCCTTCTGCACAGCAGATTGCTCATCTGTTGGCGAGTACACAGACACAGCTGTGGGCAATTTATACACTTTTTGAACTTCTATTATTTTCTCAGGGCTGATTTCAAATCCCTCTGGGTCTGATTCTATGCTAGGTGAGTATTCAGAACAAGAGGATCTGTGGAGCTCCTCCATTTCTGCCGCCTGGCGCAGTTCTTCTGTGGGAGATGCATCCTCAATGGGAGAGAGATTACTGGGCGGTGTCTTTGGTCTTTCTCTCCTTCTCTGAGCTCGAAGTTCATCTTTGTCTTTCTTTGATTTCTTACTAGAACTCTTCCTTTGTTGCTGTTCTAATTCTCGCTGCTTCTCTTGCTCTTTTAACAGTTCTTCTTCCTCTCTCAATTCTTCTTCCTCCGAAGAATCTTCAATGGTAGGTAAAAGAGGGCCATGTGTCCTGTGCCGAGCTTTGCGCTGCTGCTTGCTCTCTCCTTTTTTGTGACTTGGGCTACTGTCACTGTCCTCATCGAGTGATGATACTGATGTAGGGGATGTGCCAGGAGTGAAGCTGGATGCATGGAGACTAGAGGAACCCTCTCCTCTAGATCTGTCCTCAGGTGAGTCTGTCAGGCTTTCCATTTCTAATTCCGGCTCCTCATCAAAATACAAAGTTGTTTTCTTCTGAGAGGATTCTGCAGAGTATTTATCTGCTGTTGTACTGTTGAGTTCGATCGTCTTAAATCGCCGTAACCCTCCTCCTCCAGCAACTACAATTTCTTCACTCTCCTGACTTTTAGTTTCTCGAAATTTGAGTTCAGGACTTTCATCAAATGTTTCGTCGTCCTCGTCATGCCAGGAGTGGCGTCGCCCTGCGTCATCATCGAAGCTGGCACTACTCTTGCGAGTCAGTCTCCTGTGTTTTCCTGCTGTGCTTCTCCCTTTCCCTTTTGCTTCTTCCCTCTTCTGGCTTTCAGTCACACCGCTGATCTCTTTGAGCTGACTCCGAATGAACTCATCATCTTCAGAGCCAGAAGCATCCTCATCAGCACTCATTTCTATGATCTGTTTGCGAATGAAGTCCTCCTCTTCCGCCGAACCTTGACTGTCTTCCTGTTTATACTCATCGCTGCTTGATGAGCCAACACTAGTCCTCCGCTTCCTACGTGTGACGGGGGAGTTTTCACTCTCACTGCTATCTTCCACTGAGTCATAGGATGCTCTTCTTGGACTTAGGTCATCAGCTAGCTCAGGCTTTTCTTTATGGTCCTTCCTGGAAGGAAAGCCTTGCTGGCTGTCCCTTTTTGAACTTTCTTTCTTTTCTTGGCTCTCTTTGACCTCTTCTGAAATAGTGACATCCAGTGTTTCAGATGGAATCTGAGTTTTTTGCTGGTCCTGAGACTGCTCGGGAGAAACCCTCTGGGGCTGTGCTTTCTTTTCTGATTTTTCATCCAGTGTACTTGCCTGAGCTTCCAAAATGGATAGTACTGTACTTTCCAATTTTGCTAAGTCTGAGGGGCTGGAAGGACTGCTTTCTTGTGAGAAGGAGTCCTTTTTGAGCCCTTTGAGCAAATCTTTTTCATCACATGGTATAAGACTTGGAATTTCACCCAGAGAACCTGATATCCCATCAGAAGAATATCCTGTGTCACTCAGACCTTGTGGACTCTTGGGCTGCTGAGAACTGGAGGTGTCTGATTTGTCCTCTTCCTTTTCCTAGTAGAGTGGGAAAGACACAGGGAAATGGATTAGAGTCAAACCAATCACATACCTTTGCCATTATTATTAAATAACCATTAATGATTTAGGAATAAATATGGAAAAATTCAGCTATATGATAGGGTTTTTGTTTGTTTGTCTGTTTGTTTGTTTGTTTGTTTGTTTGTTTTGTTGTTATTTTTCCTATTTCAAGACAGGGTTTCTCTGTGCAGCTTTACAGCCAGTCCTGGATCTCGCTTTGTAGACCAGGATGGCCTCAAACTCACAGAGGTTCACCTGCCTCTGCCTCCTGAGTGCTGGGATTAAAGGTGTGTGCCACTACCCCCTGGCATATGATAATAGTCTTATAAATGTTTGTATGAGGACAAAATTGACAACAATTGATAACCACTAACTTAGGTTAGTTTTCATTTAACCTAAATTTAAACTACATATTAATTCTCATTGTTACTTGATTTTCTTCCATTAATTCCATGAGGCCCCTTTACATTTTAATTTCACTTTTCTTCAAATACATTATCTGTATCAATGCATTTACATTGTGACAAAATTTAAATTGTTAAAAGAGTCAGTCTCGCTCGCTCGTGTGTGTGTGTGTGTGTGTGTGTGTGTGTGTGTGTTCCTTTTATTTAATTGAAAAGTTTTTCATAAATATATTCTGATTATGGTTTTCTCTCCTTCAACTCCTCTGTGATGAATAGCTTTATGTCAACTTGACATAAGCTCGAGTTTTCTGAAAGAAGGGAACTTCAATTGAGAAAATACCTCCATAAGATCCAGCTGTAAGTCATTTTCTTAATTGATGGGAGAGGGTCAGCCCATTGTGGGTGGTGCCATCCCTGGGCTGGTGGTCCTGAACTGAGCAAGCCATGGGGAGCAAACCAGTAAGTAGTACCCCTCCAAGGCTTCTGCATCAGCTCCTGCCTTCAGGTTCCTGCCCAGTTTGAGTTTCTGCTCTGACTTCCCTAGTGATAATGTCACTTAGAAGTGTAAAATGGAACAAACCCTTTCCTCTCCAAGTTTCAGTGGTCATGACGTTTCATCACAGCAATAGTAACTTTTACTAGGATATCCTCCCAGATCCCTCCTACCTCCTCATTCACCCACATATCCTTTCTTTCTCACTCTCTCTAGAAAATAAACAAACAGGCAGAAAACAAAAACAAACCCATTGGGACATCACACCAGCCCACCAACAAAAGGCTTTCCTGAGTGGACAGCACTACCTCATCACATCCCACCTGATGACACAGAGCAGTTTTTGAAAGAACAAGATAGTCTCCATGATTTCTTTAGTTAATGCCATCTACCCATCACTCACAGTAAACACCATGGTTGTGAAGAAAAATCAATCAAAATATGATCTTTCATAATTTAATTTTGATAACATTATCTTTATACCTTATTTCTGCCTACATATATGGTAAAGCCCAAAAACATGATAAAATTTCATACATATGAAGGTAAAGTATGTATTATTGTTTGGAACAATTCATTGAGCATAATAAGAAGACACAATAGTTTGAAAACATAGATTTTTGAAGTCTATCCTGAAATTTTTATAAAAATAAAATTAAGACTAGCTACACAGAATGCAACAAATAAAAGCAAAAATAAACTCATGAAATGCTAACACAAAATATCAAAATATTTTCCCTACACCTGCCTGTGTATGGCTTCCCTCTGGGCCCATGCTTCCTGTATTTCTCTGTGCTATACTCTACCTGATCATCCCTCTGGGCCTGTCTCTTTCCCACATGTCTCTGTCTCAATCACCACGTTTTGTGGGGCTGCTGCTCTGCTGATGTTTCTATTCTGTATTAAAGGGTAGCAAGTGTATAAATGATCATTCTATAGGCTTGTGGGTCTAAGACAACATGTTAGGAGTGGCTGATGAAGTATCAGTTAGTAACTTCTAATGCACCTCACTGGAAGATTCAAAGGAGAGAGTCAAGTTCACCAGGGTACACTGAAAAACTTCATAATGTTCATTTTCTCCCAGTAACTAGATTTAGGTGTGTATCCCCTCACAGAATAATGTGCCCTAGTTAACTACATAGTTTAGCTGTAAAACATCACATAACTCAATGATCAGGTCCTTTGCTTCACTGATTGAAGGCACCTACAAATTAATCTTTATAACTGTTATTAATTGATTTAAAAAGGATTTCCACATATCAGGACTTGGCAACCATTTGTCTGTCTTGTGGTTAACTGGTCCTTGACACTGCTTCATTAATAACACTTATTAACAAGGGGAAATTAGATGCAGATTAGAGTCCATAAACTGGATCTTTTTTCTCTAATTATTGAACTTCAAAATGGATGTTTGAAGTACCACATGCTAGAATATAGTCAAAGGACTCATGTGAACATAATGTGGACCATTTTTTCACCAATTTCTTATTATACCAGACTAAAAGATTGGAAACCTTTTCTTGGGTGCTTCAAAAATTTGTAAGAGTGTACTTATTTAAGGAAAGATATTAATTTATTTAGTTAAATAATATTTAAAGATAGAAATTTAACAAGCATACTTTTGTATAACATATAGAACACACACATATAGGTGTATAAAATAATACTGGTTTGTAAAATGTATTCATTTTTTATTTGAATCATCAGGAAATTTACATTTTTTATTAATTATCTGTTTCACTTTTAATATTAAATACCATTTAGGACAACCTCTAATATTCTGAAATAAGAATAAAATTTCAGTTAGCTTGCTTTTGCATACAAATTTTTGTCACCTTTGATGAAGTCAAGCGGTGAGAACAGTATCATTGTAGGCACAGCTTTGAAACAGCCATGTTGTTATTTTTCATTTCCCTAAAGAAAACATTTTCTATCTGTTTTTAATGGTTATCATTACATTCCATCACGTTGGCCTATATTGTATTGCATGTTTTCCATGCAAAGAATTTTGTTACTTGAGTTTTGCTTATCTATGCATTGCACTCGGGAGGCAGAGGCAGGCAGATCTCTGTGAGTTCGAGGCCAGCCTGGTCTACAAAGCTAGTTCCAGGAAAGGTGCAAAGCTACACAGAGAAACCCTGTCTCAAAAAACCATTACAAAAATCACTCCAGAATTTCAGGGCTAAGCTTCAGTCTTTTCAATGTGCTACCAGACAGCAGGGATCAAAGCATCCCCTTTCCTGTGAGCATCCATCACCACTGATTGGACAGTAGATGAGTCAGAGAGAAGGCAGTAATGAGTTAGTCCCGCTTGACACTCTTCTGCTGGTGGGGTACTTTGTGGGGAACCTAGTGTGAGAAAATGCACACAAATGCACATGCTTTGTCCACTTTGTCTGTGCTTTTCCACAAGCATTGAAGCCAGCAGCACTTCACGTTGAAGGAAGACAAAAGTGTCTTAAGATGGAAAGAGTTAAGAATTGAGTTCTACCAAGCTAGTGGGAACTCATGACCTGTATTACACCAAGAGCTGTGGAGCCTCCATGGGTCTGGACTAGGCCCTCTGCATAAGTGCTTGGTCTGTTTGAGGGGCCTCTGGCAGTAGGATCAGGATCCATCCCTGGTGCATGAGCTGGCCTTTTGGAGCCCATTACCTATGGTGGGACACCTTGCACAGCCTTGATTCGGGGGTGGAGGGGCTTGGTCCTGCCTCAGTTGAATGTACCAGGCTTTGCTGACTCCCCATGGGAGGCCTTATCTTTTTGTAAGAGGGAATGGGGGTATTGGGAGGAATGCTGGGTGGGAGCGGGAGGAGGAAAGAGAGGGGATCTGTGGTTGGTATGTAAAATGAATAAAAAAATTTTGAATAAAGGAAAAAAAATGAGTTCTAGGATTCATATAAAAATGTGCAAAGACAGATAACAGTAAGTGCTTGGTTATTTTTTTCTGGACTTTATTTTAAATGAACTGAAAGAACACAGAGATTATCTTTGATCATTATAGAAAGTTTATGTTAAGATGGACTGCAAATATGAATAACTAAAGCATTCCAATCAAGATTGAGTCCACAGAACTCAGCCCAAGAAAAAGATAAAATAGTTCACTAGAACACTTGATCATTTTTCACTCTGATTATGCAGTCACAAAACAATGCAGACGTTGTATTTTATGTCAATAGATAAACTGAATATTAATCCTTCAGTTATTTTAAACAGAAACCAAAGTCCACATTAAAATCTCTGTTAATTCAATTCCCGTCTGGAGAACTGTAGTTTTTCAGTATGGCATATGAAATAAAAACTAAGTTTCCTGCTTGGATAAATAAGTAAAAAGACAGAATTTTATAGCAACATGATTAAAAATACAAAACTAAAAAGTTTAAAGAGGTATACTTTCAAATATATAATATTCAAATATATTCATTTCAATATATTATATATTCATTTTATTTTATATAATAAACACATTCAGGAAACTTGAATAAAGAAACAATGATTTAGCAACAATGAAATGTAAACAACACAATATTGAAACAACTGACAAATTGATAAAAGGATGTAAAGTAGTATAGATAGACAAGCTGTGAAAGTTACCCAAAAGATTGTGCCAAAAGTTGCAAAAGGAGATGGCTAATAAGGAAAGACCTTATGTCAGAAGTGTCCCAGGAGAAAAATCCTCCTAGGTGGCAGCTGCAAATAGAGGCTTTATAATCAGAACTGTACTAAGATCCTTGCTATTTCCCTCCAAGTATACTTGTATTTGGAGTATAAAATCTAATTTCCCTATTTTTAAAACAACCATCATAATGCTTATATTATCAAGATGTGCGTAGGTTAGACAGTAGGAAATGGGTTTTATAAAGTGCCTAGACCATGGTAAGGGGTGAACGAGGAGTATTGCTTGGAATTTTCAATAGCGATTAAAAAAAAAGCAATCAATATAAGGGAGTTGTGCAGCAGGAGAGGCTGACTTTCAGTCCTGGGTGAGGGAGGGGTGGGCTCCAAAGGACAGCAGCTCAGGAGGGACTTCTGTGATGGGCCTGCAGGGAAGGCGCTGCACAGGTACACACAGAGAAGCCCAGACAGTCCAGCGGGGAGAAAACAATCTATGCATAAGAAACACATGGAAGCCTCTGTGGTTTTGATTTCTCACCAGGAGAAAATGGTAAGGGTTGCAGGGAAGTTATATTGCAGCCAGATACCAGAAGGTGAAAAGCCAACCTAAGCTATTTAGGCAGGACTATCCACTGTGGGTGTGTGTGGTGATATACTGTGTTCCACAATATATTGTGTACCCTAATAAAGCTGATCTGGAGATCAGAGGAAAAAGCCAGCCACATTAAACATAGAAGTCAAGCAATGGCAGCACATGCCCTTTATCCCAGCATTCTGGAAACGGGGCTAGAGGGAACAGACAGGAGGGTGGAGAGAGCCATCTGGATCTGTGTGAGTTCAAGGCCACACTGGGAACAGAGGCAGGTGTGGCAGCACACGCCTTTAATCCCAACACTAACCATAAAGGTCTGGAGGTCTCTACAGACAGACAGGAAGTGATGTACCTGGGCAGAGAGAGGAAGTGAGATGGCAGGGACAGAAAGGCGTGGGTATACATGAGGTCACTCTCTTTAGAAGCTGAGGAGTTGGTGAGGTGAGGTTGGCTGTGGCATGTCCTATTCCCTGATCTCTCGGTGTTCACCCAATATCTGGCTCTGGGTTTTTATTAATAAGACCATTTAGCAATTCATCTTACAGGTATGGATACCCTGACTGCTATGTAAATGACTCAAGGCAGGAAAACAAAATATCGGAATGTTTATGATATCATTTAAATGCAAGACTGAACGTTTTATTTTTGATTTTGGAAATAGACTGATAGTATTGGTGTTCTTTAATTTCCTGTTAATTGTTCATATGGTCTACAAAATCCTAAAAGAAAATTGGAAGTCCTACTGTAAGAAAAAAATATAGTGAAGCAATCACTTAATTTGTTCATTGTTAATTTCAAGCTAATTGTTTGGTAAAGAAGAAATATGGCTTATATTACACAGTTTCAGCTAACCCTTTCTTTGGTAGGTTAGTGGCAGACAAAACAATAACAAACACACACAAAGGTCACGTGTTGATAAAACTTACAATGCAAAGAGCTCACAAGTGTATCATGAGGGAGCTGACACTTCCTGTATTGCTACAGGCATTTGATTAGCAGCACACCAAGGTAAAACAATGGTTAAATGAGATCCCACATGGAGTAAGTAAAATATTGGAAAGTGTCAGGAAAAACTTGATGGAATCTGCATCTATAACCACTAGGAGAATAACAAATGCAGGAACTCAGGGAAACATTAAATAGAGGGATGTCCTTATGATCAATAATGGCATGGAGGACCGAGGCAAGAAAAAAAGAAACCTATCTGGCCTCAGATTAGTGCCTGGAAGACAAGAGACAAATAAATGATGATGTTACTATTACAGAAAGCCAGATAGAGTGGTGGGTTCTTAAGAAAAACAAGCAATAGTCAAACATGTTGAGCCTGAATCTGCAATGCCGTTTAAAGGGAAACTATCTACTTGGGCACACAGTTCTGAAACCCAAAATAGAGACACATATGTACATGGGAACTTAGAGGTAATTCGTGTGACTTCTCTGGATAGAAAAGAAGGAAAAATCAAAGGAAAAAAAAAATGGAAACTGACAAAGAGAAATCCTGAAAATGGCAAATGCAGAACGCACAAAGATGATCAGAATGAGAAAGAAAGATGGTGGAGACCGGTTAGCAGGCATGTGTCAAAGTGAACACAAAATAGCAAACCCCTACAAACTGATTCAAGGTTGCAACTGTAACTTCCACTTGGAATTTTAATAGATAAACAATAGGTCATTTTTCTGTGAATCATCGGTGTCCTCTATGAATTAAGGTTATTTAATTAGATATAAGATATTTGTGGATCTCTAAGCAGCTTGTATTTTAACTCCTGTGTATATATACATACACACAAATATATACATAACAATAAAAAGAAAAGCAAAAGAGTCCATCACTTTGAGAGGGAGTAAAGGGGTAAGGGGGGCTGGCAGGCGCTAGAGGGAACAGACAGGAGAGAAGGGATGATGTAATTAGATTTAATTAAAATTAATATATTTTGAAAGAATAGAGTGCCTTTAAAATTGCAGAATTACTTATGCAAATATTACTTAAAATGGAACATTCATGAAACTTCTCACTAAAGGAAAAGTATGTATCATTCCATACTATATGCAGATTATAACTAATCCTCCCATATTAAATGTATGGCACTAAATCATGAGAAAAATCTAGAATTAAATATGAATACATAAATTTCCATTCATTCTAGATTTTTACCATGCCTCTTTTTTTTTTTAACCAAGAAATTTTTGGCTGACCACAGCTTAGAAACCTATCAGAAGGAAAACCTACCAAAACAACACAAAAACTACTTGCCTCTTACAAAACCTTAATGATACTTTATTTTAGGAAAAGGGAAAAACTGACTTATACACCCATTCTGGGTTTAAAAAAGAGAACATGGAGCTATAAAAAAAAATCTTCTCATTTTTCTGTATGATTTAGAGAATTTTATCTATATGCTTTATGTAATTTCATTGAGGTATCAAAATGCCATTGCTTTTCATTTGAGTGAAAAAAAAAATAGAGTTCTCTGAAACGTAATTCATGGTTTAAAGGTTTTCACATCCATTCTCTCCGTGATCACATCAGGTACTAAGTAAACCTGTGACCTGCATATTCAAGACTGTGATGGCAGGAAGTATACTTACTGTTTTTTCTTTGCCGGGCTCCCCTTGGTCAGACTTGGCACCGCCTTCCACCTGTGGGGGCTTCACTGCTGGGCTTTCCTTCTCTCCTGCCTTGGGCAGAGTCTGAGGAGCATCCAGTGGCAGATCTGCAGTCCTGGCCTCCGGCTGCTCCTCTTTCTCCGCTGTCTTTGCGGCCACTCTTCCTGCGGCCTCTTCGAGAATGTCTACATGAGCTTCAAGTATGTCGCGTTTCTCTTCCCCCTCCGCGGCCAGTGGCTTTTGCTCTGGGGGTAATCTCTTTTCTTCAGGGGCTGGCTTCTTTCCTTCCAGCGGTGGTTTTTCTTCTGCAGGTGCCGACTTTTCTTCTGCAGGTGGCTTCTTTCCGGTTTTATCTTCGATGGGCGGCTGCTCTTTTTCAGAGGGTGGTTTCTTCTCTTGCCGGGTTGAAACTTTGCCCTTGTCTAGTTTACTCTCTTCTAGTTTTTGATCTGTGGTGGCCGTTGGAGGGGTTTTCTCAATTGATGGTGTTTCTTTTTCTGGAATAAGTTTTTCAGTTTCAGTTTTTACTTCTGTTTCCTTCTTTTTACCTTTTACATGGGCCCCTGCGGGTGTTTTCTGGGTTGATGGTTCCGCAGGGGCAGGCACAGGGGATGCCTTGGATCCTGATGATATGGGCGGCATTTTGCCCATATCTCCAAGTTGTCCTGATACTGCTCTCTGCGTCTGGCAATTTAAGCAAAGCCATTCTTGAATCTGCAAAACAAACAGCAATGAACATATTAGGGTCATCGCAGACTATCTTAGCGCATTAATCAAGATGAAAATTGAAAATGCCTGGTTGTTTTGTTGATTGTTGATAGGCACAGGGCAAGTCATTGTTTTCTAAACCAAACCAAACCAAACAAAACAAAACAAAACAAAAAACAAAAATATTATTGAAAAAAATGCAAAAAGACTATTTAAAATATAAACATGGGCAAAAAAAATCTATGATGACTACTAATCTCTATGTTCACCACTACCAAGAAAAAAAGAAGGTGATAGAAGAAGGAACCTAAGGAGGACCCAGAGAAATACTCATTTAGTGGTTTGCAGAGGAAAGAAACCTGTAAGTTTGAAAGAAAAATTGTTTTAAGCCTAATATCTTAAAATTTAGTATTTCTGCCCTGCGGTGGTGGCCCCTGCCTTTAATCCCAGCACTCGGGAGGCAGAGGCAGGCGGATCTCTGTGAGTTCGAGGCCAGCCTGGGCTACAAAGTGAGTTCCAGGAAAGGCTCAAAGCTACACAGAGAAACCCTGTCTCCGGGGGAAAAAAAAAAGAAAAAAAAAAAAAGAAAAGAAACCTTAGCATTTCCACCACAAATTTACTCAAATACAATTACATTTTATAATAATTTTCATTTTATTTAAAATTAAGCAAAGGTTATTTGAGTTTAATTTACCAACTCTTTATCTCTTGGTATCAACCAAATACAATTGCACTGAGTAGCATAGAGTTTTCAAGAGTCTCTTGTGTTTAATTCTCTATCTTCTTTCTAATTAATAAAATGATTCCATTTTTAATACTAATTACATGCATTCATCAGTTAAGAAGGGTGGAGTCATAGATCAAATTGTTTGCCTTGCTTTTTCCTAAAAGCATTCTGATTTTCTGACTGAAATGTTTCCTTGTGTGCATGCTGCTCAAGGCATAAGAAGTTGTAACACCCTTCAGCAGATCACCTTAGGTGGCACTCAGATATACCGCCTCCTAGGGGACTATTTTAGCAGAACACCAAGGAAAGAAAAGAAGACCCACCATTCTGAGAAAAAGCCAGTTCACTGCTCTCGAAATCTAATCATGGAAAGTACTCTCTGAGAAGAATGCAGGCAAAACAAACACACAGGAGGCAGATGCTAGGCTAAGGGCAGACGTCATCCTTGACTTTGTGCTTTGTATTTTGCCCTCCATTATACGTATTTTACTGTAAGAGATAAAGGCTGTGCATGTTGCTTCTTTCTAATTATTAACATTTAATGTGTATTTATTATGCAAGAAGCAAGGTGGCAGGGTCTATGAATAAGACTGCCTACTTTCTTATGGTGCATTGTCTCCAGATAAATTCAATTTCAAATCGCTTTTTATACTGGCTCCTTTCTCCAGGTGCTTGGTTTAAATTCCTTACAGAAAAGTCACTTACTGTAGTAGAATACTATTAGAGAAAAAATTTCATTTTGTCCCCTGCTTTTTATTTTTTAGAAATGTTAACAATGGCACTAAATATGTGACTATTTTGTAATCTGTAAGGAGTTATAGATCCTTAGTTTCTTATCTAAAGTACAAAGGTGAAAGCCACCTGTTGAGTTCAGTAAGCCCTGTCTTAAAACATTAGGATGTATTTGGGTGCCTTTGCTTTTACTGTGTATGACCCCTCAATATCAATCCTTTCTTGAATTCCCATGAAAGCATCTTTGGTGTGAACTACAGTTTTATGTAACAACCAGATCCACAAGTCATGGGAAAGAAACTGACTTGGTCATTGTCAAACAGTGAGAGCCATTGCTCTGTGCTGAACAGTTCCCAAAGATAATACCCACAGAACACCAACCTTGATCTGTGCTATGGTTTCAGAAACCATTACTGGATTGAAACACATCATAAGATATTTTCATTATTCATATTTTGAACTTGACATTTCAAAAAAACAAAAACAGACAAAAATAGCAGTCTCGCAGTGCCATTTTGTCACAAGGATTCTAAAAATCACAGGCAGGTGTGTACAAAGCATTCTCATCAGGACATGTCCCAGTGTAAATAAGCTGGGGACTTTTAATCTAGCGGGAATACAGGTTTTATTCCATTGGGAAGTTTTGTCTACTATAAAATTCTGATTATTTTCTTGTGAAATTACTTGTACTTAGTTGGTATATATTGAGTGTATGGTAAGTACCACAGAGCATGCGGCTTTTATTAAAAAGGAAATATATTGAGAAAATGAAGCACGTTGGTATTTGGGAGGTGGCATACTCAGTATTTTCATACCTTTTGGAAATTTAGGTATGAAGCTTAACTTTAGTGTATACTATGGCAAACAAAATACTTCATTTCTCCAATTTATAGCGTGTGGTAAACTTATAAAGCAGTGGTGACTACACCACCAGCGTCTCCCACGTGAACAGATGGTAGAGCAGCTCTCAGAGCTAATACCCAGCTACACACCCTGAAACCTACAGCAGCTCTCTGCCTGCAAGATATACTGGTGCAAGAGCAGAACAAATGGTACCAGAGGTAATCAACCACTCTGGGTGGGTTTTTGACACACTCAAGAGTTGGGTTCCATCTATATCAGACAGTGTCAGTGAGGCCAAGATCCTAAGGCTAGTTAAGTCATGGGCGCTAGGGAAAACTCTACTATTATTATTCTGCTAAGACAACATACAATAAACTATCTCCTAATGGCATATTGCTATACCTATAGATAAGTGTAGTTCTCTACTGTCATCAGAGAGGCTTCTTCTTACAGTAGTTAACACTGAAACCCACCAATGGACAATGTGTAGAGAAGGGACTTTGGGATGCCCAGCCCTATACATGGTGTCTGTATCACACTCCTCAAGTGTGGGCTCAAAAATCTGTGCAGAAGAGGGTGTGGAAAGATTTTAAGAGCCATAGTGGTGGATGACCTCAAGGAAGCAGCATTTTCCAGACACAACAGGGCAGATGCATCTTGGAACTTACATACACTATAACAACATTCACAAGGCCTGCCCAGCACAGAAGAGAGGAAGTAAGCAAAAAAACCTACCCCTATCCAAGAAGCTGTTCGTGATGGATAGATGTAGGGAGAAGGAAATTTTGTTTGTTTGTTTTCTTGTTTTAAAAGAGAGAGAAGTACATGAAGTTGTGTACAAGGAGAAGTTGAGGAGAATCTGTGAGGAGTTGGGAAAGGGAAAAGAATAAGATCAAAATGTATTGTGTTTTTTTGTATATACAAAGACAACTCTGCATCCAAGGTTCAGAGAATATCATGGAAGATGAGGAAGAAACATTTTAAGATCCAAAAGACCAGGAAATCTGTTGTAAAATTTTGTCTCCTAGAAATGAGAGGGAAGCTTCACCCATAATACTTCAACAAGGCCACTAAATGTTTGAAAGTGGAAGAAGAAACAGTCTTCCCTAAGGATGATCCTCCTATTTGATTATTCAATACCAAGTGGTCAGCCCTGACATTATATACATATAAGTGACATTAAACAAACTGAATATGTTGTATTTGTATATTTAGGCATATAAAAATATATATATGCCTAATATATAATTATTGAGAGCTGCTGATAGCAAAAGTCCATGAGAGTATACAGCAGTGACAACTAGAGTTCAGAAGGTCAACCTATCAGAACTAAGGGATCTGTTAGAGGAAACTATCATGCAAGGTGTTATGGAATTACTGCCTTTTGAATGAACTGGCTGTCTCTTGTTGTAAACTTCTTGTGCAATAACAGCCATGATTCTCCCCATTTACTGTGCTCTTCCATGTTATGTATACATGTAATCTCACGACTGCATCTCAATCTTGGGCATAACTTTCCCTATACATTTGGGGTAATTGGATAACTTTAATTTAATTTTCATTAACATCTATCTGTCCAGGGCCAGTCTCCAGACAAAAGTGTTTCAGCAAAGACACCTTTTTCCAAGGACAAAACTGCACACAGATAAACATTAGCTCATCTCACCCACAGATAGAGAAAAGAACCACTAGCAATTAAACCTTCAACTCCTTACCTTCACCCCAGGTTATTTACACAAGACCCTAATTTAAGAGATTTACTGCTCACATTCCAGGAACGCTGTTTTAGCCATTTGCTAGTTACTGAGTTAAGGCAGTTACTTCCCACTGACACAAGAAGATTGCCCTCAAGGCCAGGCAGGTGATAGGCGGCCAAGCTTCTTTCTTGTGCAAATTAAGTTTTAATTCCTCCTCAGTCAGGTGCTATTCCCAGATTCCCTAATTGATCTTAGCCTTTAGTTGACCCAACCAGAGAATTCCCCTTTAGTCACTCCCCTTTTGGGTTGTAATTGGAAGATGACATTTATTGTTTTATGTGTGGATCCTTACCACCTCTCACTGCTACCCTGAAAACCTCAAGCCTCGCCTTGCTTTGCCAAAGAATTACTGTTTGTGTATATATACTGATTCCCTCAGAAGACTGGGAAATTGAGAACAGCAAAGATAAGGATGGAGATGGAAAGAACTAGATAGAGATGAGAGAACAGCGGAAGGGACTGAGAGGAGCGAAGTAAGAGAGCAGAAAAGAAACTGTGTAGATAGAATTGACTGAGAAGAATGAGGTGAATGGACTAAAGAATTCAGTGTGCTTAGATTCATTTGATATTCCTCAGATTAGAATCCTTAACTGGTTGTTAGATTCTTCCATGGACCCTGGGAGTATAGGCTGGATCTATTATTGTTTACATTATATAATCAACTAATTATATATATATATAATATATATATGTAAAACTGTATATTAAAATCTAGATTTTAAAATCTTTCTTCATCATCTTCCATGATATTCCCTGAACTTTAGGTGCAGAGTTGTCTTTGTATATACAAAAAAACCACAATGCATTTTGATCTTATTCTTTTTCCCTTCCCCAACTCCTCACAGATGCTCCTCATCCTCATATATTCAATTAAACTAAAGAGGTCATAAATTTCAGAGGGAATAAGGTGGGTACATGGGAGAAAATTTATATTTTATACCAACATT